TTAAGATAACACAGACTTTACAGTCATTAAAGTAGATTACAATTTTTTTACTGCATCTACAGAGGAATTCTGGATTGAGTTGTAAGTTCTAGGAAATAGGTCAGGTTGTCAATATGATATTGAATACAGCTGCCCTGCCATCTGATTTGGAGAGCCTGGAACAATATAACCTTCATTTCATGGTGCACATGGTGAGCAGTTGCTCTATATTTGAACAGATCTTCCAAGTCCTTCTGACAAAGTAGAAACAGAACCTCTACACTACTCCAAACAGACAGATGGCCTCCTCCTCAGGGAAGCTCAGAGTGAGACTCCAGAATCTACACGTCTTTGTGCTTCTCAGGCTGATGCTGGCTTGACAATATCATGTGAGAAGCAATTGGTCTATTGCAAAAAGGCTGAACAGGAGTCCTGGGTATTTGCCTCTACAGATAGACCCATCACCACAAGAAAACCATTTACACTTTCAACATTCTGCTTCCCTTAGGAAAGGACCATGGGAAATGTCAGCTGAAGGTCCAGCTACCTCTAAATTTTATTTTTGTCTTTTTTGCTGTCTAAAGAGGCTGTGAGTCCTTTTCTTTCACATTTGATGAAAGAGGGTGTCACATTCCTATATTTATCAGTGGGATAACTCAGAAGACTCCTTAAGAATCCTGACTTTCAGTAGTTATAAACCAGTAGCAACTTCATAGAAGATGCAACAGATTTGCTAGAGGCTTTAAACAAAAGCGAGGGAAGTAAAGTTCCATCAAAATAGTACTTTCTTCAAATTGCGCCATAAATATTTAGTCATTTAAATAACAGGCCAGAAATCTGCTTGTGTGCTTATTCTTTAGAAGCCAAATTAAATGAAAAAGTCAAAATCAAAATAAATTGTTGAAGTATTATTTAAAGTGCTATCGTGATCCAAAGAGGAAGGAAAATACTTGTATTCCTAAATAGTGATCCAAAACGAGAGAAGTATTTGGTTACAGGCTATTGAGATAAATCAGAAATAGTGGATATGATTTCAATCGGTGGGAAAGATGGTAGGGAGGTCATTCCAAGCATGAAATGTAGTATAAACACACACATAGATATGCAAAGTCTAAAGTATATCTTGGTGACCACAAAAGAGCTATGTCACCTAGGGCATAAATTTTGCTTCCTGAGAACAACTGAAAGTGTCTTATAATATTTTTGCTTGTCACAAGTGAGTAGGAAATGCTATGGGCATTTATTAGTAAAGACCAGACACACCGCTAACCATTCCACAACACACAGTACAATCTCTTTTAACAAAGAATCATCCAATCAAGTATGTCAACAGCATCAAAACAAGGAAACCGTATTCTAGGGCATAGCTACTTTTAAACATTTATGAGAATAAGACTGGAAAGGTAGCTTAAGGAGTTGAAATGCTAGGCTGAGGAGATTTCACTTGAAATGGGAGGTGGAGAGCAATCACTGAAGCTTTTTGATTGAAGGAATAATATGAATATAGTGCCACTTAGGAAGACGAAGTGCCAAACACAAATTATTAATTGGAGAAGTACGATGTGAAGAAAGAGATGAGTAGATGATTAAGGGCCTGTGGCAATATTTCTGGTGCAAGGTAATAGGTACATGAACTTCCAAAAGGAAAGGAAGTGGTCAGTTCCAAAGGCATTGCAGGAAAGAATGTACATGACTATAAATTTTTAAATTGTGATGAGGGCAGAGGATGGTGGAAGCTCATCATGGCATGGATGAGCTAAGAAGCAGAAGAGTCAGGAGAGAGGACTGCTCTGAAAGAGAAGTACACCTTGACTTTGGCTAGTGGGCGAGTCATTCATTGGTGGATACTCTCACTGTTAGATGGCAGATAGATTCTACCTCCCATTTCTATATTCTTCAACTCATGCAGTTGAGTTGAATCCAAGTAACCACCTTCATTTGCACAATATGAGCTCTGGTAAGAAGAGAGATGGGCTGTTTCTTAGCAATTCAACCAGACGATCCCCTCTCACCCTAGCAGCATAACACTAGAGTTCATTAAATGTTTGACATTACTCAAGGGTACTAATGGTTTTTGTTTATTATCAATTGTTTGTGCTTCTATGTGCAGCCTCCTTGATTCCAGGGTTGTAAATTTCAGTTACATTTGTGTTCTGGGCATGAGTTCACATTTATGTAAATCCTTCACATGCTGGTACAAATCCACTCAAGTCGATTGTTCAGCACATCCCAACATGTATATTTGAGAGGTTTCCATGAATTACATTCTTTGTTTTAATCCAGCACTGACTCATTCCCATGTATTTACCATTGCTCCTGCTGCAACTTGACCCACAGTACTTTGTGAGTTTGATGTCGCTGCTGTGGGCAAAGGTTTGGACCCTTTTCCTCGTGCAGCGTGAGTGGAAGTAGAGGAGTCCAGGAATTAGTCACAGCCCACAGCTGATGTACACAGCAGCCAGAAACAGGCACTTTCATATATGCATTAGGTTGAAGCATAGCTAGCTTAATTCCCTCTGACATGTGCAAGGAACTTCAGCCTCCATTGCAGTATTTCCTCATGAGTCCAGCTCCATAAAATTACATAGTGATAGAATCCATGAATTTGTCAATTGATTTATCAGTATGCTACTCTAGTTATAGGAGTACATTTATTGTATGCATTTTGTTAATTGAACTAGACTTGGTGACTAATATCCTTAGGGCATTCCTTTCCATGACTCAGTAGTAGTCAAATTTGTGCCTAAGAAAGATTGATCCAGTGTGAAATCCGCTAAAAGAGTGGGCCAGGAGCGGGTATTTTCTTCTAGCTCACCACCTTCTACGAGCCAAAGAAAACAATCGTCAGGCAGATAGATAGGTCAGTGTCATTGGTGCACCATGCTGAGTATGGATGCTTATTCCAAATGACACGTTCCTTCCTCACCTGACCCTGAGTAACCTACATCCTCAGAAGCTACATGTCTTCCTCTATAGAGGAAAATCTGTCTCCTGGATGTATTTGCCTACCAGGGTACAATTCTCTCATTCACCATTTTTATTTCCCCATGTAAGTTGCATTATTTATGTTTCCAGAAGTTTACAGAAGTTGATATCAAAGGCTTTAAATGAAAGAGTAATATAGCAGGTGGATTAAAGGTAGGAAAGGCAAGAAAAGCTTTACCAAAATTGCATGTCTTTGGAACTAATCTTGATTGTCAGATATATAGCTATGTCTATGTCTATATCTATCTCTATGTCTATATCTATATCTATCTATATCTGTACTATCTATATCTGTACCATCTATATCTATATGAACCATACACATACAGTTATTTTAAGTTGAAATTTGTTTGAAGATTTTGTGTTTGAAGAGATAAAGAATTATAAAAATAACAAAGATTGGATGATAAAAAGAAAAAACTTTGGAAATATGGATTCTTGAAAAGCTATGGAAGATATTAAGATTCTTGGCCTAAAAGTCTTCAGATATCTTAGTGCATATTTAAGTTAATATTTGTACTTACAGCCAGATAAAATCTCTGTGAGATTCAGAGGAAATATCTTCCTCAGATATTTACCAGATTTTCCTGAGAATGGTAAATGTAACAAGTTAGTTCATAAAGACTTAAAAATGAGAAAATATCTCCAGAAATTATTCTTTCACATAAGAGCAAGTGAGTGAAATTATTTCTCCCAAGCTGTTATACCTATCTGGAATACCTTTTAGGAAATGTAAACTTCAAACACTAAAGTTCATCACAATGACACAATTTTCAAGAGATGAAATTAAAACTATGGCATTAATACTATTTTCGTTTCATGGTAAGTTTTTCTAGTAGCCTTTTCCCTGCTCAATGAGAGCTACTATTCAACTTTTGTCAAAATATGACCATAAAAGCTGAATTGGGACCTGATGCCCACTGAGGCCTAAAAATGATTTTAGTGTGACTGTTCCTGGGAAACCCCAGCTAAATCTTCCAACTTTTCACTTTTCAAACATGCTGAATACATTCACCCAAACCTACAAATACAAACAATAAAATTAGCTGTTTTTAAACCTGTGTTGCTTTCCATTGTGTCTTGTTTGTTAAGAGTAGGAAAATTTATTGGAGTAAAGGAGTAGGGAATAGGAATAACCCCTGAAAGACAGAAGGAGTCACGAATGGGTTGCTTATCATTGTCTTTTGTGCAGGTTCCTCTGTCACTTTCTTCCATGTGGCAATCTCAGAAGAAATGCTTCACTTAATGCTGTCCACATTGTGTAACAGGAGAGGGAAAAGTGATCAGTTAATCATACAGAGGGCTGAAGATTTAGCTCAGCTGCACAGTGCCTGCCTAGCAAGTGCAAGGTCGTGAGTTCGATTCCCGGTACTAGAAAAAAACAAAAAATAAAAAATAAAAATTAATCACATAGATTTAATGAAATCATCTAAGGATTTCTATTAAACACTAAAATAATTTAAGATGCAAAATTAACCATCAATTTACCCTAGGAATTTTAAAATAGGTTTTAAACAACTTTCATTAATCCAGAAGCAAATGAAAAATGCTGGCTGTTATTTCAGGCCCTGTACTTAAGGGTTGTGCCTATATTTATTAATCCAAATGAATCTAAACTGTCTGGTGTCATACAGTTCATAGAATTTCAGAATAAATATATGCATTAGCTAAATACCCTCCATCTATATTCTCTAGATAAAGAGTTTGTGTTGTAACTAAAGACAAATATTTTTAATGGCAAGGAAAATGCGCATTCAAGGCCACCAAGCTGGCATTTGGCGATCTTGTTAACCTCACGTCTTCCTTTGAAAGAATTACAGGAAAGCTTAAATTGTTCATGATACTTCTGGAGAACCTTTGAAACTTGTGAAAACTTTAATAAAAACACAGCTTCTACAAAAGGCCATCAAGATTTGGAAGAGTGTGGTCAGTACCTATTCTGATTATTGTCTCTTTCTTCAGGAGCAAGATCAATGAGGTGTGAACCATCTAGGCATTTTTATAAAAATAGCAACTCATTTTCATAACAGCAACTGTTTGTTTGCAATTATAATTTTATTCTTGTTTTGATATATAGTTAAATAACTTACAATAGCAAAATAATAAAATGAAAACATTTTTGCTATGTGAAACATAACAAAAAAATGTGAAATCATTTTCTCTATGATACAATCTCATTTAATCTATATCAAAGAGTTTTAAATACATTTTACCACTATCATTTTTACTGAAATGAAACTGATTCAGAGATCTCTCAAGAAACTTATTCAGAATTAAATTGTCATCTAGTGGTCAAGCCAGAATAATAATCAAGAGGATTTTACTTTAACTAATTGGAATAGCAATTTCTGTGACATTAAATAGGGGAAATAATATTATCTCATTTGGAATTTATGCAGACTAACATTGGTTTACTTTTATTTTCTTTTGCACTGTGTTGTAAATAACTGGTCTTCTTTACACTGTATAACAATGTCTAGATTTCTTTGAAAAGCATCTCTGTTATTGAACTTGTATACTATTAACTCTCCCTTCCTATATAGATGTTTCTAGCCCCAAATTACTTGATGTGAATTTACATTATGAATTTTAGAGCTGTCAGTCATTTGTTATAATCAAAAAGAACAAGTAAATATAGAAAACACTCTTCAAGAGTCAATTTAAAAGTCAAGGTACATAGGCGAAAGAACCTTCAAACACTGGCTAAGTACAGATGCCACACTCTTTGCACATCCAGTGTATAGTGTAACTTTTTTGGTGAATATTTATGAGGTTAAAAATAATTGCCAGATTAAGATGTGTATAAGGGAATATAACTGTAATCTCAGCACTCCAGGAGACTGAAATAGGAAGTTCACAAGTTCTAGGCAAGCCTGGACCGTTTAGTGACGTACTAAACCTTGTTTTAAAAACAAAACAAAGCAAAACAAAACAATGAACAAAGACTAGTGATGTAGTTTAGTGTGGAGATCCTGAGTTCAATGCCCAATACCTAAAAAAAAACCAAAAAATAGAGAGAGAAAGCCAGATTGATCACTGGAATCTAATAACCTTTCAGAAATATGTTTTAATTGTTTTGTTTTTAATTTAAATAACTTCTTTTCCTATACCACTTAGTCTGAGCCCACTGAATTTAGCATACATAGTATATATTTGCTTGACTTTAGTGTTCTTAGGTCTAGACTTAAAATTTACATAACCTAAAGCAGCACAGCGTGACTTCATCACTAAACTGGTGTTTGTACCGATAAGTTTATTTCACCACATGTAAGCAGAGAGCAGAACAGTTTTCTTGGGAGACACTGAAGTGCAACAAATGCCTTACACCTACTGAACTGAGGATTTGTTACTTCTTGCACGGTGGCAGCGTCAAAGCGTTTGGGCTGGCCGTTCTCTGCAGGATGCCCAGACAGCAGTAGAAAGAGGAAGGAAGGAGCATGTTGCACAATTTTAAAGAAGGACGTGACCATGCAGAGTGTCAATGACGGGCATCTGCCAAGCAAAAGGAAATGTCTATCACTCCGAGAAGGGCTATGAAGAGAAACCCTATCTGTGGATCTTAGGCAGTGTGACTATCTTGCCTCACAGTGACAGAATCAAAGTTTCAGGCTTTTCCTTAGAAAGCCCCAATGTGCAAACCAGCCAAAAGTCTTAGTCACTTTCTTCAGCCCTGGGACTCAAATCTGACACCTGTAGTTTGAAGGTGGAAAAGTTTATTTTGTCTCATAGTTTGTAGAGTTTCAGTCCGTGTTGGCTTCTTCCAATGTATGGCATGACAGGCAAGAAGGAGAGACAGACAGACAGACAGACAGACAGAGACAGAGAGTGAGGGATGACGGGAGTTGGGGAGAGGTAAAAACCTGCTAGGTCATGACTGAGGTAACCCCCACCTCCTAACAGCAAGCCAGCTATCAGCTCCATAATCCAATTACCTTCCCAAAGCTTCACCTATGGTCACATGAGCTTTGAGGGGGACATCTAGATATAAACCATAATGCAGGATTCACTGAGTGTTAACAGTCCCAGTTCCAGCCACAAGGTATGGAGAAGGTAGGGAGAGGGAACATTTAAACACATACAACTCCTTTCAAAGATTGAGCACCGCAGTTCAGAGAAAAGTCACTAGGGAGGCTGCTGAAGTGAGAAGAAATAGAGCCATGAACTTTACAGCTGTCGTTCTGGGACAAGAAAATAACAGCAGCAGTCGTGGAACAGACGTCCTGTGGCAGTCAGAGCAGATGGAGGAGAGCCAAACATCTAAGGACCTGCTCCCAGAGTAGAGACAAGTGAACAAGGTGGGACAGGGCCTGAGGCAGGAGCCTGTGGGAAAGCGAGCTCGCTGATGCTGGCAGAAAGCCCAGGACTCATGGGGAAGGGACTCCCCTTGCAGTTCCGTCTTCTGTTTCAGTTACTCACGGTCAAGTGTAGACTGAAAGCATCCTATGGAAAATTCCAGAAACAAACAATGCATCAGTGAGAAATAATGTTGATAATGGTACATAACTATTACATTTTATTATTAATTGTTAATTTCTTTACTGTGGTTCATAGTTATGTGCACAGGGAGAAAGCACGATAGATACAGAGTTCATGAGCTATAGTTGCAGGCGTCCACTGGGGAGTCTCGGATTTTGTTTCCCATGGATAAAGGGGGACAGGTGCCCTCAGGAGATTTCCTTGGATGATTAAAAGGAAGGAAGGGAAGGGAAAGGGGTAGGGAAGGGAAGGAAAAGCAGAGAAGCAGAGCCAGGGGCAGGTGGGGAGCTACTCCTCATTACCTCCCTTATGTTCTTGCCATACGTGGGTGCAGTCTTTGCTTCTGTACTGGTTTTCTGGCAAACAAGGGCAGCTCCGGCAATATTCTGTCTGTAGTCACATCTGGACCAGAGTGGCACACTGTGTTCTATCTGTAAGTCACAGGACATAGAGCAATAGTTAGTCTCCTGAGAAGTCCTAGAATAAACAACAGATATAATTTCTCTTTCACACTTGTTTAAGAAATCATTAAAAATAACTGAAGTAAATTTTACTTAAAATAGGGGGCTATCTTTGGAGAGCACCACCATAGGATACAAGAATACATTCTTCTACTTTAATTACTGTCAAAATAAATATTAGTATTGGTAGTGCCAAAGTTAGAAACAGGTTAACATTTAAACCTATGCCTTCTAAAAGTGACACATATTTTATTTGTACTGCATAAAGTTCTTTTTAGCTTAATTCTCTCAGATATAAAATGATGGTAATGGTCAGGCATGGTGGCACATGCCTGTAGTCCCAGTACTCAGGAGGCTGAGGCAGGAGGATCATCATGAGTTTAAGACCAGCCTGGACTGCAAAGTGAGCTCAAGGCCAGCCTGAACTGCATAGCGAGAACCTGATTCAAAAAGACAAAAAATAAAATAAAAAAATAAAAAAATAAAATGGTGGTAATATCCAACATACAGGATTGATATAAAAATATGTACATAAGAAAAACTGATATAAACTATCTCATACAATGCTTAATATGTTCTGGGGCCTACTTGTCCCCATTTTAGTCAGAACTCTAATTTGTCAATATTTTCTTTTTCTATACTTCCCAGAATACTGTCAGAGCATTTTTTAAAGATTTGAAAGTCATGAAGTGGAGAAAGTAAAATCTAGCATTCCTGAAATGCTTCAAATTACTCCTTAAACTTAAGAAAAATAGTAGTACCTAAAATGCAGAGTCATCCTTCTTGGCTGTCAGCACAGTATATGTTTGCTTTCTGTGGTTCAAACAAAATCCAAAGATGGTATTTATTCTCTCCCATTCTGTCCCTTCTGTTCACCTTCAGTGTCAGAGTCTCAGATGATAAATCTGATACAGGCACTGGTTCAGACAGACACTGGAAGTTGGGAAGCCGGGAGGAGGGTTTCCCAACTAGCCACTCTTCAGAGGTGGAAGGATCTCCTTGCAGAAAGACCTTGGGCTTAGAGAAGCACTGTCATCAGTCAGGGGAAAAATCTGTAATTCATATCAGCCCATTTATGAAATAATTCCCACACAGGGCAACATCATTGTCCAAGGAGCTTGAGAAGCCGCAGTGACTGGAAGGTATTTCTACCATTTGATGCTAAGGAGCCACGGATATTCTACTCATGCAACATGCTAGGGAGTCTGCAAATGGAAAGGTTAACATGTGAGCTATTTAGGAATTATCTTGTCTTGCTCTGACTGTTGATTCTCAAATGAACCTCCGAGAAGGTAACCCTTGGGAATAGAATCATATGCTCCCAACACCTCTTCTTCTGTTAAATACTTAGTATTGCAAATGATATCTAAAAGTCATGTAACATGCTTTTGGTTTTAAACCTCATGGGCTGAAGATGCTCTCTGGAAGAAGCCATTCTTGGGTCACAGTGGGTAGGTAGTAAGTCTGTGTGTGAGCCTACATGAGTTGCATCTTCTTAAGGAATGAGTGCTTTTTAAGGAAAGATTTTTGTAGGTGGTTCTTTTTTATTCTAGCTTTGCATTTATATTGGGTTCCACCCCCATCTTCTTTCATTTGGTTGTACTTTCTGAAACCTAACTCATAAAAAAGAAACATATATTTCTTTGCCCTATATTAAGACAGAACATCTTACTTATATACACTGTATAAATATATCCTATAGCAACACAAACACTTATTTTGACTGCACTTTTTCTTTCTTAACTTCATATACATGAAGTGGAGAAAGTAAATCACATCCTAAAAAAAGTAGAGAATGTCTTCACAGTGAAAACTCCTTCAGAGGGGCATTTTGCATACAGAGCTGTGTTGCTAAGGTGAAGTGTTTGTAGGCCTTTTCAGAATGACTTTCTTGGGTTTTGGAGCAAGGAGGTTTCGGTTTTCATCTGTGAATTCTCCCCAGCACTGGCAGGGCCATTGCCTAACACTTTCTAGCCAAAGTTTACAACATCAAAACCAAAAAGAGCAAAGCGTTATGGGAAATTTTTTACTGAGAAAATGGTACATGGTAGGAAAGGGAGTAGTAGCAGTAAAGTGAACCAAACTCTTACTTATTGTTCAAATTGTACTGTAAGAATTGAAGAGCTGGTGTGTGCCCCAATTCCACGACAGGCTACCTGTCAGAAAGTGCCCTTAAATCATACATACTTTACAAAACACGAATTTACCTATTGCTGTTTTAGTTGTGTGTGACAAAAATGAAAATTCTTATGAGCACTTTTATTAACATCTACAAGATAAAATGTTTTATTTCTTAGAGGGGGGATTGCCTTTGAATCTGAATTTGTTTTTACCTCCATCAAAGTCTACATTAGACATATCTCACTAGTTTATACTCATATTGAGTTCATGAGAATCTCATAAAATCAGAACTTCTGGAGTGTCTTACCTCAGCCCTTGGAATAAGTAACATCAACGGTCAGAAATTCTATTCTGTTTGTTCTTCTCTTTCTCTTTTACCCTGCTTTCGTTCTCACTTATACTTCCTGGTTCTGCTGTACACTGGAGGTTCTAAAATGTGGCAATAAAGGCAATCTCTCATCTCACCAAAAAAAAAAAAGTAGTTAAAAGTTCCTGAAATAAAGAAAACCCTCATATTGTAAAATTTCTAAACTAGTTGCACAAATTTAAACATTTTTGAATTAAACTTTTTTTGCAGGTTCTTATTTGGTCTATAGTAGGAACAACTGAATTTTTAAATTTAACTTAATGAAGAGATGTTCAGAGGAAAACGACCAGAAAAGAAAGTTGGTGCATTCACCAAGGAAGTATGTTGCAATGCTTCCTCCGTTATGGCTTCCTCTGTCCTCTAACTCTCAAAATGTAGCTTGGGCTGTGGGCTCAACAATCTGCTCAGCTTTTTTCTGTCTGATATTTCAAATAGGGGAAATATCTATACAACCAAATATATATTATACTATCAGTTCTTTTTGGGGGGGCGTATATATCATTTTAAAAACCCAATTAGCTATAACTTAATGAAAGCAATTATGCCTACCACAGTGTTTAATAGCAAACATGTGCTCCTTGGAATCTGAGAATAAATGTTTATTGGTATAAAAAGTTAACTAATTGTATTTCACCTGTAAAAAAAAAAAAAAGCTAGCAGTAAAGAAGAGCAATTCCTTTTCCAGGAATACAACATTTTCATTTTAAACTACAATAATTAATCACCTCTCAGCTTCTTACTCAACCCAAACCATGTGCATTAGAATGGTGACGACATTAGTACCCTTAGCTATAGCACTCTGTCCCTTTTCTCTTGCCTTCTGTAACATTCTGTTCTATTCAGGAATATAACTTGTGCACTCAGAGACAATTCTCTTAGGAATTCGCATTTGCACTGAAGGTACAGCTTGATTTTTCTTTTTTAGGTCCCCTGGAAACCTCAAGCTTTAATGACTAACATTCCAGAAAATTCAAAGTTTTTCCAGTTGATAATATAAGAGGTCCTTAGGTACATCTACATATTTAGATTTCTTCTAAGAGGTGAGATGCAATAAAAAGAACTGTGGCTTAGTAGATGGTGCGATGAACTGTAGCACATCACCTTTTAAGACACTGTTCTTGTTCAATAGCATCAGAATCAGCAGTTTATCTAGAATAACAACTTTAGACGCTTTTACTCTTTAAATTCAGGCCCAGGATTTAGAAAGACTTCCAGGGCAGAGCCGCAGTACAGATACCTATCCCAGTCCACATGCGTGGTTTCTTGAAACCAACTATTTTAGAGTATGATTTCACCAGTCTCAGACTCTATAGTTTGGTTGATACACACAAGTCACATGTCTTCACAATTCTCCATATAAGCGAAAAGAATGCTCAGATCTACGTTAGTGCTATAATTAAAATATTAAATATAGTATATCATGTCCAGTAGTGTGTGTTTGTGTGAAATTCTTCTAAAAATATAACAAAGTGTTTACAGTGCTAATCTCAGGGTGATGAGATTATAAATAATTCTATGTTCATCATTACTCTTGCATGGGTTTGTAGATTTTAAAATGATCAACACGTTAACATTACAAAGAAGAAAACAAAGACGTGGAATGTCACCAGTGAAGTGTAATTAACATTTGCTCTCTGTAAGAAACCCTTAATTTCATAGTCAGAACACCAGATTATTTGTCAGAGGTATGAAGCTGGTATCCAGCCAACAGAAGCACAAAGTAATAAAATGAATATCTCATGTGCAAAAAGGAGGGAAGAGGCAACATGATGTAATAAGGCAAAGCTAGAGAGAGAGTTAGAAATCCAGGACACATTTTGCAAAGAGCTGGAGCCGCTGAGCACTCTGTGTTCTTATCTGGTGATGGATTGTTTATCACCAATCTCTATACTATAGGTCACTCTTTCTAATCTTTCAGTGTCCTTGGGCCACCCTGAGTTAAGAAGAATTGTCTTAAGTCACACATAAAAGCATATAATAGAGATAATATACATACGTGACAAAACTTCCCTTATTTTTATATTTCATTTCTTAAATTATTTTACGAAATAACACAGACCCAAGGTTAAGAGTTAAACAAGAAAACTTACATGTCTGCTTAGTGACAATAAGCGACTGTCTTCACAGGCACCGACGTATGCAGGTGGCCAAAGCGCCGTTTTATTGATAATCACTGCGTTTCACTTGCCAAGTGGCACCAGCACATATGACAGCTGGTGCAAGCGGGTTTCTGTTGGACTGAGGCGTGGGGAGGGGGAGGGGTTAGCACTGCCTGCAGCCTCCCCTAAGCAGCATTCTCTTGTTGCCTATCCAGTTTGCACACCAGCACTGCGCAATCAGGTGGTGAAAAATATTGATGAAAATCACAGAATAATGGTGAAACTTTTCAGACTTGCTGGGCTACTTTACTAGTTTTCCAGTTCCGCACAGGGCCCGTGGTCTGCAATTTTCAAAGTGGGAAATGGACCTCGTTTGGAGGACTGAAAGCATTCTGAAACAAGATAGACTACATTTTGTTTTTCACATTAACAAACAGTATTTATGTCTCTGGACTGCGTTTTGTTTTGTTTTGTTCTGTGAAAGGATGCTACCACTGACCACTGAACTCCATCCCCAGAATTTTTATTTTTATTTTTATTTTGAGACAGGGTCTTCTAAGTTGCTTGGGCTAGTCTTGAACTTGCCATCCTCTTGCCTTCATACCTGAGTAGCCAGGCACTGTTTCAAGTGTTTCACAAATATTCAATAATTTAATTTTCATAACAATTCATGAAATAAATTCTAGTACTCTCCCTGACAAATAGGAGAGAAAACCTATGTGCAGAGAGAGCTTTAGTAACTTCCTCAAAGTCACACAAAGGTCAGAATTTGAACTGGACAGTCCAGTTTGTGAGGCTATGCTCTTGCTGACTTCAGCACCATACTTTGTCCTTCAAATGAGTGAAAGAGCATGTTCATCAGTAGAATTTCAGGATAATGAAATTATTTCAAATATAGTATCAGATTTCTAATTATCCATGAAGCTATCATAGGGTATAATAATCAGAGATTTCCTCTAAACCACAGTACTTAGTTCAAGCATCTGCTCAGAGTCATGCAGCATTATGATCTACCTCTTCCTTCGCATAGTACAAAAACCAGAACACCTTGTTCCCACTGAACCTGGTTTCTCCCAAAGAGGGAGGAGATAGCCAGTTCTCATTAAGCTTTATGAAGCTACGTGCTAAATGGAAGCCAGGTTGCTTAGAGACCAGGTATCCTTATATCTCTTTGTTGCCCAGGATATTTGCTGGGCCGGAGCTCAAGAGTTGAAAGTCCATAGCTTGGGGGTGACTTTTCCTTCCTGCGCAAATTGATTGAGAAGTGGTTAAACAGGTTCCAAAATATGTAGGCTGTACACGACCATGGTCTTTTTTGGACATGTTGTTTTTCTGATGGACTAGCACAAACACAGCGAGGGAGTGTATAGATTAATGGTTTAAGAAGTTTGGGCTAGAGGTAATTGTATAGTTTAGAATTCAGGCATCTTTTCTTCTGATGACTGCTAAGTTTAATGAAATAAAAAGATAACTTTACAAATCTAAGCTAGCCATGCACTCCATGTTTTACCTCAAATTTTTCTCTTTCTGTTTTCAAAAGTCCTGTTATGTACTATTCAAACATGGTAGAAAACTACGGCATTGAATATAAATGTATTTTATAAGTAGTGTCAAAGAAGAGTACATTAATTAAGCTTGGCACATTCCTGTAGTTTCTAATTTATCTATGTAAATACAATTAGATGATTACCACTAGTCAGTTCAATAAGATGATATTTTTCTGCAAACAGATATGTAACTGAACAATAATTATTGAGTGTAAAACCACTCAAGAAGTATTATGCCACATAGTTTCTGTTGTACTTGGAAAGTTCATAATTTACGGTTGTGTAATTTCCTATTTCTAAAATTTTCTGTATTCTACTACATGAAGGCAACTCACCTTTGACATGAAAAAATGTTTGTCTTCTTATGTAACAGAAATTAAAGTTCCTTTTAAAACCTTTCAAGCCCTTCTTGGAATGTTCTCAGTCACTGAATTGGCCCTATAAACACAGATACCCTTACTATTCCTCTTTATTTTAAATTCATGTATAAATCTATCAATCAAATCTGGTGTCCACAAGATTCATCTGCATTACATACTTGCCTGTATACGTATTTCTAGGTACTTCCATCTGGAGAGCTCTTATACCTGATATTTAAAAAAAAATCCACCTGAATAAATGAACACAAACAAAAATAAAATATCTTATCAAACTTTCATGGCCAAGAAGTTTAATAATTTAAACTCAAAACAAAAAGACTGCACACAAAGAGAATAGGTAGAAAAGAAACACTTCTACAGATTGAATAACAATGACCAGGGCTTAGGATGGTTTACTGTCTCAGGCTCTTCGTCACCCACCATTATTTTTTAAACACTTTAGAGCACCTGAATGCATCTCTCTTAAAAGGACACAGAAACACTGAAATATTAGAAAAGACTTAAGAGAACAGAGAAGGGATTGTAATATTTGAGGATTCTTTGAGGAATATGGACATACTTGGTCAGTATAGCAGAATAAGAGGATAGATCTCTCTTCCTGCTTGTCTTTTTCTCTCCTTTTCTTAATCTTCCTCCTTAAGTTTTCCAACTATATCTGTGTCCCTTTCTCTGCATCTCTCAATATTTAAGACTGAGAGGTACCTCAGAAGCATAAGAGAAAGAGAGTTGTAGGTGGACGTGTTAAACACTGAATTTAGGCATGTGAAGGATTGGTTTGGTTCATTTATTTATCTCTTTCTTTGCCTAGACCCTGAAGGACTTCATAATTAATGAGAAGAAATCTGAAAGACCACTGTCTCCATATAAATAAATTTAGCTGTAGCCAAAAGTAGACATAAATGAAATTGGTTGTATTGAATGGTGGTGATGATGATGGCAATACGTATGATGCTGTCATATATAACATAAAAATAATGGTGAACATGTATTGGACATTGTCAAGTGCATCATAGGCATTATCACGTTTAATTCTAACAATAGCCTGATGAACTAGCTACTTTCATTACACACACACTACAGGTAAGGAGATTGTGATAAGAATATTTCTCCCATATCTTACAGATAATAAACTCAAATATAAGGAATTATCTCTAAATAAGATCTAGATGAGCATTGTGGGGATTGAGTGTACAGGTGTGTTGCTAACCTGAAAGGTTGCGGATCATCTGTTGCGGAGTTAGCCACTGTATCATCTGGATAAATCTTTAGTCAATTTTGCAGCAAATGGTGAAAACCACTGCGATCACAAGAATGTAGCAGGGTCCAAGCAACTGGTGAATTGTGTCAGAATTCATGGATTTTGATTTCATAGTTTATGATCAATCAAAGCAAAAATGTCACAGTTTCTGGCTTCACAATTTTGGAAGCTTTCTTCCAATGCTGATGTAATTATTTCAGCATGCCTACCGTAGACACACACACGCATGCACATACACTCATTCCAAAACCTGCTTCTTACTCATGGTACAAAAGCACAGTTTAAAAACCAGTAGACACTGGAAGAATCCATCATCATGGCAGATCTGATGTACAAAGCTTTTGTCTGTCTTCAGAATTCCCTCTTTTAAAGTCTTTCTGGTTGTGGTCACGGTGAAGAGGTGCTGCTTAACATTTTGCTGCTTCCTCTTATTCATTTGAAATAAAGAGGTCCAAGGAACCATGCCATGCTAAAATTGTAGGGAATCTAACCTGTATTTTAAATTGACCCAATACATACCACTCTCAGTCTCTTGTCAAGATGGGCTAACTCATGGCAACATTTCATGAATGAAATAGTGACTTCAATGAGTGCTAGGAAATGTCAAGTTTTCTAAGGATGTTGTACCTTCTTGACATATAGGAAATATTTGCTTCAGAGATCTGTGCTTGAATTCTATTTATTTCCCTATGTTCCAGTATATTTATGATGGTGATTCTGTGTCTATATATTAAATAATACATTTCCTGTTTCTGTTACTGGAGAAAAAGTTTCCCAAGGTGTGACTCATTGCTTGAATGCCTAGAACAGAATTCCATCTAAATAAGCTCTCAGAACTTACAGAAATGGGACAAAATAATGCAATTATCAAAACTTAGTTAAGGAGTGGAGCATCTGAAACACAGCTAACTGCCAACTTGAATTTTTGAAAATCTCATCACTCTTCCTAAAATATTTTTAATTTACTTCTATTGTATAGGACATAGTTGTGGAATATTTGCTTTATATGGACTCATTTTTGGTAATCCCAGCAACTAACTGCTTAAAAGAAATAACACAAACCCCCTTTTTATTGTAATATTGATTGTGTATTTGATTATTTTATGGGTGTTGCATGTTCGTATTCCCATAAGTTGATTTGTGTTAATTCCTGAATATATTTTTCTGACGTGATGCATGAGAATTAAAATCATCTCTGTATCCTGGATTTCAAGTAACTTGATCACGATGCAGTCCTGATAGCATGTGACGAGACCTCTTCTCCAGTAGCCCCAGGCCATTTTCCTTGCACTTCAATTAAAAGAATTTCCATTATGACTAACTTTGTATGTTATGAAGATCTTTCATCATATGGTGCATTGCAGCATTATTTGAAAACAGAAATGCCCATAGGAAAGTTATTTATTTTCTTCCTATTGTGACACTTCCTTCTGCTGGTGTGTACACCACCCCGACACCACACAGTTTATCCCCTGATTCTTTGTGGTGCCTGCAATTCCCCATTTCTATAACATTACCCTTTAAAGCTCAGATGCGGAAGGGAGCAAGCCCTCTGAGGCCTACTTCAGAGTATGAAATGTGAATGACAAATACAGTGAGTGTTTAAATTGAAACAAAAATTATTACAGTAAAAGAAATCTCCATTATTCCCTCCAAATGAGTCTCCATGACTGTGAGCACACTAATCGCATTATACATGCCATTTTCTGAAGCAGTTCTGGAAGTCCTCTTTGATGAGTATCTTTAGTTGAATGGCTGTGATTGATTCAATGTCCTGAACATCTCTCATGGTGATTCTGACTTTGGAAAAGAGCCAAGAAAGTTACAGGGTGAGAGATTCAGTAAATCAGGAGGATGAGGACAAACCATAATATTTTTTAAGAACTTGTCTTTCCCTTGGATGTCTCTTGGAAGCAACATTTGCCCTATTTTTTTAATTGTAAGTTCTGAAGACACTCATGAAAGTGCTTCAGAATTGCTCTGGAGTGGCATGAAAGATGGGCTAAGCATATTTGAAGCAAGGAGGAGTATTTTGATGGGGAATTAATGGAAATCTGTCTTTTGCTATAATAATTTTTAACAGTTAAAGCATTCACTGTATATTTCAATCATACCTTTTATGTCTGAGGGGAAATCTTAAACTTTGGGCTGGTTACTTCGTGCTCTCTGTTAGCACATCCACTTTTGTACTTTGGTACTTAAAATACATCTTTATTTCAAGAATTTTGTAGAGATAACAGGTTCCCAAACTTTTCTATTGACCTACCAGTTAATTATGCTGAGTATTTTATAACGTACCAGTGTGTTACCAAGATGAAGCTGAATTTTTTAGATTTATTAAAATCCTTAAACTAATGGAAAATTATGGATGAATTTTCAACATATGTAAATGGTAGACTTTTTGTTTTAATTTAAACTGAGATTCAGTTTTCAGTTTTGTAGGGAATATCAAAATGTGACGTGATGATTCGGATTAAAATATTCTCTTGATTAAAGATGCATGTCATTTTGACAGCAGGACGATATCACTGTAGCTATAGTGTGCATAAGAACCCGAGAGAAATTTTTTGAAAATTGCAAAAGCAAATCTATTGTCATATTCACCCACGATAAACATCCATTTTCAGAAATTGGTAGAATTTTTTTGCCTCAGAAAGATAGTAGCATAACTAGGTCAGGTTCATATTTTTGCTTTATCAGCTTTCTAAAATTTCTTTGTTACCATTTCTTTTGAACCTGAACAGCTTCTTTTACACTCACAGCAATGAAGTGTTCTTTGACCTCCGATGATTCTCATGGCAGAATATTTTTAGGAAAGTTGCTTATGTCCAAATGTAAAGAGACCCATTCATCTCAAGATATCTAAGAAGGAAATTGAGCATAGTGATAATGTTTTCCTCAAGTTCAGGAAGGGATGAAACAGATTTCTTTATGAAAACAACTTTGCACTTCATCAGAAAATAGATGAAATCTACACAGTACTTTAATCATAAGTCATTTAAAATGACATTGGTCTTAACATCCATGTAATTCACGTGAAACATTTTTATATTTGTTCTACCTCTTCAGTTTAGTTCACCTTCCAGCAATTGGTAGCATTCTTCTAGTATGTGAATCTGTTGAATAGCATGTGTTTGATTACTTTCTCAATATTTTTGGACAGTTTGTCCTTACTTCAGAACAGCATAGTTTTTTTTTTTAAATAAAATATTATCTTCACACTAGATTCACCCTTGAATTGCTTCATGTATTGTTTTTTCTTCATGAATCATATTTTAAAGATGATGGCATGATATATTAAAATGCTATCCATTTGCAAAGAACTCCAATATACTACACCAAATATAATTTCACTTGCAACACAGCTTTATATAATGGTTTGGTGTAAAGACCTACTCACCTGTCCAAAAAAGTCCCCAGATAATAAGTGTACACATGAAGAGTAAATTCTATTTTGTTTTTTTACTTTCTCTCCCTCATTTTCCTTCTCCCCATCCCTGAATCGCTCACTCAGAACTGGAAATTTCCCTCAATCTTGAATGTCTCTTTTTATTATGTTCTCAAGTAGATACAATGGTACAGTTTAAGAAAACATAGTTTTGCCTTTTCATCTGAGTTTGCCCATTTTCAGATGGATTTCCTTTGCTAAATTAATCAAGAGGGTCACAACTACCGCTGTGGTGTTCCTTGATGTCAGGTTACAGCGTTCAACTCAGTGGAAATCTTGTTAGGTTTCAACAGAAGACTAAAAGCTAAAATCTCAGCACAGCTTCGAGAACACTGATTATAATTAATATATTTTTCAAAAAGAATATCTTGTTTTCTGGACAACTGTTTCTCTTAAGCGCTGTCCTTATATTCTAGGTTCAGCCCATTGGAGCACATTCTTATTTACTTATAAGGATTTCCTCCAATGGCCAGTGCTGAGTATGCTTCATGCCTCCTTGGGATGCTACTCAAAAAATCCTGATCAAATCTATGAGAAAGATTGTCATGCCCCCTGAGACATTCTATCCTTACAATTTTAAGCATGGACAGATTAGTGCTCTGGAAAACAAGGTCTTCAATAGAAATTGCTTGCTTTTATACATAGAATTTCACTGGAAACCATTCACAATCTTTCATTTACTTATTTTTGATGGTTACTTTTCAGCCCCAGTAGTGTCAGTAAGTAGGCAACAAATGCCCTATAAAGTATAAAATATTTACTGTCTGTCCTTTTAAAGGAACACTTCCCCACACCAGGAATAGATTCCATTGATTTAACTAAAAATTACACGACTTTTTCAGTAAATGTTAGCAAGAATTTAATAAGACAAATATTTTTCTAAGACAGCTAAATGTCTAGTTGAGATTCAGAAAACATAGAAGATGTTAATTTAGATTACAGATTCGTTAAAAGAATCCTTACATATGTCAGTGTTTCTCCTTAATAAGAATTCTGGGAAATTTTTCAGTTCATGTCACAAAGTTGCATTGTGACATGGCACAGACTTTATTAAAAACTTGACTGCCTTCTGGGACACACAGAAGAATAAAAATAAGACTTCTTTTCCATCTTGACAAAGAGAAGAGAATAAACCCACTTTTGATGAGACATCAAGTACAAAATTCACATTTTGTTCCATGATACAAAGATTAAGCTGAGGTTAACCATTATCATGACTAACATTATTACTATTTCAAATGCTCCTGTCATTGAATCTGAGAGATATATGAGGTAGGGTATGCATGGATTGTGATTTTGTGAACGACCAAATTATCTGTTCAATTCAATGCGAAGTGAATTGTGCAATTATTTCCAGTGTTATTGATGGTTCGATTCTTCACATTACAATATGAATGCTTATTATTCTAGAGGACTACACAATAATTCAGTACATCATATGTCTCATAAACAATATCTGTGCATTAATAAGGCAATAAAAAAGCAAAGTGGTGGGTCTTTGTTAAGAAAACATGAATGAAAAGGCCGGGCGTGGTGGCTCAGGCCTGTAATCCCAGCACTCAGGAGGCTGAGGCAGGAGGATTGTTGTGAGTTCAAGACCAGCCTGGGCTACAAAGTGAGCTCAAGGCCAGTCTGAACTGCATAGCGAGACACTGTCTCAAAAAGACAAAAAAAAGGAAGAAAAATATGAACAGCTATTCAGGCAAGTTCACGGGCTACTCCTTTCACTTGCAAACTAAAACAACCTGCAGGAAAGTGAACTATCCAGTTAAATCTATCCTTGCCAGAGCAAACATGAAGACATGATGTAGTACTTGGGGAAAAACCATTAATCAATATTGTCATAACATATCCCCTGACTCCATTGCTTCATTTCAAAAGGTTACATAAAGAATAAATACCACTAGCTATGCGGATTTCAAGACTTTTCTAGAATAAAGCTATGATAACATCTAACTTCAAATAAATAGAAAGAGCATTTTGAACTGTTTAGGTATAATGTTCAAAATCAGGAAAGTATCCTCAAAGCTCCCAAAGGTATTTTCAGTCGCATAAACTAAAATAAATTCAGCCAAACAAACTAGCATTCATGAAAGCTGGAACTAAATCAGTAAAAACTATACCAACAGAAATATCACTTTGTAGCTTTAAGACATTAGATTCTAAAAGTTACTGAGACTGTATATATTTGTTTGAATCCCTGTCATCAGTAGATGTTGTTATTATCAACAGACTTTCTGAGTTAGAGACTTGGGACCAGACAATACTATTACCCAGCACATAGATGCATCTTCAGAGGATGAGCTGTCCTGCCTCATACGTTATTTGAAAGAAAAAGACAAACATTTTACTTACTGTAGCCCCTTTGAAGCCTTTAGTTTGGTCTAACAGCCCTCTGCATGCACCAACAACCTATCATCTCAGATCAAAGGTACAAACAAACAAGCAAAAGGCAATTTCCTACCATGTGTGGGGTATAGGGCAAGAGTGAAACCCTAATATTTAAATATTTCCAAATATTTAAATGATGAGTGAAACTAAAAGTGATTAAATAAATTATTTTCTACTACCTATCTTGACAAATACTGCTTCCTTAGGATATGGGAAGTCAAATTTAAATTTAGAATTTTCAGACTCCTTAGTGCCCATTCTAGGGTCTGGCAATGAGCTGCCTTCGTTTTCTTTTCCTATTTCTGGTTCTGAGGCAAAATGCAAAGGGACTTGCAGGCGTGCATGTAGATATCCATGTAAGAGGCACAAATCCTTCCATGTGACTCAATCCTTTACCAAATAAGTACCTTTGTCTACATCATGGACCTTGAAGTATACATATAGTTGGTAGCCTCAGGAGGAATGGCCTTGAAGCAAGCTGAAGCTCTTTGGCCAGGAAATTCCAGGATTTTAGATATCTGAAATATAGTCTAGAGGGCAAGTGTAGTTTCTTGTAGATCATGTGCCTCTGTGCCTTCTTGCTCCCTCCTTGTGGTATGGAAAGACGTACACCCAAGCAACAGAAGTGGTCCTCGTCAGTATCAACTTTGCACAAGGTCTGCCTCTTCTTCCCCAAATCTAAGAGTAGCACCACTCTTGTGGTCCTGCAGTAGAAAGGGCTCCTTTTACAGTATTCCATCACTCATTTGCCATTGCATTTATGTATTATTTAGAACATACTTAACTTTCACCTGGAGGGACAAAGCAATCATTGTGACGATGCTATTAAACAGCAATTCATAACTTAGGCCAGCTATAGGATCAAATCAAATGGTTGCCATCTTTTGTAATTTTTATGTTGGGAAGGGCTTATGGAGTTCATCGTGGATTACTGCATGGAGGCTATGCAGATTAGAGTCAACTGCATTGTATTTTGGAAGATGTTCTATACTTATATTATGTCAAATCTCTGTGTGAATTTAGCCTTGTGCAGACTCTGTTTATACTTTAGTCCATATATCAGATTGTTTCCTTCAAAATAAACTTTTCCTATAGATGTATTTCTTCAGAGAGAAGTTTTCTGGCACTTATTCTTGGCTGTCTCCACTTTCTATGATCCTATCAACATTTCCTGAGGAAATCTCCTTCAGCTGTTCTTAGTCTAATAAAGTCATACCGGTGGTATAGAAATGATGTTCCTTTGAGAAAAACAAGTGTCAACTTAAAGACAATCTTCAAGATTCACAATTGTATATTGACCTTAATATACTGGGGCCAATTGTTTTTTCCTTCTGAATAGGAGTCTCAAAAGGACATAATCATTTGTATAAAGCATGATTTGTTTACAATCCTGAATCACAGAGGGAATGAGGACTAGGAGATAAGGAATTACTTCGGCATTTCACTTCCACAAATAAAGTTTAAATCAAACATAAGTTTCCAGGATTTTTATGGAAACGAGACTGCCCCTTGATTTAGATATTGCTCTTTTGCCATGAGATCCTTACCTTCACTCTGAAATAACTCTAATGATACCACAAATCCATTTACGATGTATGGATGACAAAGTAAGTAACCTCCATTTCAGCAAGATAGATTTTGCCTGCATTCACTTGTAAAATATTGTGATGATAGTACGTTATGTTAATATCATTAAAAAGATGAGGATTATTTCCAAACATTAAACCCATTTATTTTTGGTAACCAACTTATTTTTATAGCTGGTATTTAACGATCAAGACAGACTGCTAAGTACATCTGCTTACTCAGATTCATTGAAAATAAAGATTCTCCACATAGAGCAAACAGTTTTTCCTTTCGCGCCAGTTTATACCAAATACAGTTTGTTGGACTGAGTGGACTGACACATATTTAACTTGCAACATACTCAGATAAAATTGTAAATGGTTTCCTGCTGGTAAATGAGTCATTATGAAATGAAGTCTCAAATTTTTCCATTCTACGGGACTGGACTGTTCCTCATACTTATTTTTTAAAGCCATATTCTCTCTCAGGAATCTTGACATTAAGAATCATAACAATTGAAATTTATGAAGTGTGCATTAGTTTGTCATAAGTGTTTTATACATCTTATTCAATCCTTCAGTAAAATGCTGAACTATATTGTCACCATCTTCAGATTTAATTAATAGCACAGAAACAGAAGCTCAGGAAGTTTTGACAACTTAACAAAAATAATACTGCTCAAAATATGTGTGGGGCTGAGAGTTGAACTTAAACCTGGATGAGTCTAAAAATCATGCTTTAACAACTAGATAAGGAACTTCCTTATGCATCAGCAAGCAGAAACACTGAAATGACACCCAGGATTTGGAGGCAGATTTATTTACATTAATGGGCACCGATTGGGATCATTCCCAGAGTATCAGGCCTTGATTTCTGATGGTCTAGGTCTTATATGAGATAAGCAAGTAGAAAGTACAGAGGCAGAATGGCTTGTAAATTGGGGATTGGTTTATACAATGTTCATCATAACAACCAGCCGTTTCTAAGAGACAGGAGCAACCACAACTGCAACAGGAACTGCTACCTGGGCAACTAAGAAACTGAAGCATATTGACTAGGGGAGGCATTTTCTGCTACATTTTGCCCCTCTTTTAGTTTCCCTGCCAAATCTTTGCTGGTTGCATGTGATCTGAGACAAGCTCAACTACAATTTAGGGTCTGTATATTTTGTAACATTACTCTGGCAAGGTCATGAGGGTGTTAATCTGATCTGGGAAAATGTCCAGTGTGCCTTGGATGCTCAGCAAGTCTTGGTTAAGTGCTTGATTGATTGTCTTATTCTCTTGGGAAGAGTTTAAGGCAAAAACCACAACTAGCAGGGGGTGGGGAAGCAAGGACTGGGGTAAGCAGCCTGAAAAGTTACAAAAGTCAAGGGGAATAGGTATGGAGCAATCCTGTGAGCAATGTTCTCAGGCTTCATGCTGGACTGATCAGCATCCACTGTGACCAGAGCAGGGCTTTGAGTGCATTGTCTCTTCAGAGTGAGCCTCAGAGAAACTGTCTAGGTACATTCTCTAGCAGGTCTAAAGCTGAAATTCCGAGACTTGTAGTTAATTCTTACCTGGATTATATGTGTGTGCAGGAATGTCTACAGATATAGCTGGTCTTTCAACTGGTTAAAATATGTTTCCTAAGGTTGTTTTATTTTTGTGTAATCTATTTATATTTCTTTAGGTGGGGAGAGTGCACTGTAAGGTGTGAGGTCAGGGCCAGTGACATAGACATTGATGTCTGAGCTGCCTTCAGGGGTACAGGTGATAGCACTGCAGCTTGAGCTTGCAGAAAAATGGTAGGGGCAGATATGGCTCTGATATTCTGGGTATACTGGGTAAAGTTTTTCTGGTTCAGTCAATTAGATCCCCAGAGAGGGCTTGGGCCTCTGGACCAGATTATTTTGTATTGTTGATGGCAGGTTTTCAAGCAGTAGCAGGGAGCAGTTTGTTGTGCAGATCATCCCTGCAGGAGAGTTTTGGCCAAAATAGTTTTATCCAAGGTGATCACAGTATATTTAACCTGTCAAACTTCATTCCTAATGGGGCTACTTCCACCCATATACAGGGTATATTCAGCATCTGTCAAGGGGTCCATTTTTAGAACAGTTCATCCCAGTACAGCCTGTGGCACCTGGGCAGTTAGGTCTTGGTCTAAGGTGAGTTTGTCAGCTTTCTTTTTTTTTTATTTCAAAAATAAAAGGAGGAAAATATTAACAGACAGACAACATTTTACAAAATAGCAAAGGAACAGTGCAGACAGTATGGAGTTACAAACAAAGTGGTAGGGAATTAACAATGCTTGTTGTATTACATATTGATATCTTCAAAGTGGTTGTCAGCTTTCTTGGTCAGAAGGACAGCAGCTGTTAGAGTACAGAAGCAAAGGGGGGAGGCAACCCTTAGCAACCCAATCCAAGTGTTTGCACTGGTAGGCCACTTGGCGCTCCCAGGGGTTGAATGTCTTAGTAAGCATCATTGTTTTTGCGAACTCAAGGTTCTAGATTTTGTAGAAGCCAGCAGCTCCAAGAAATTGGCAGAGTTTTTTTCTTATAACCAATTTCGGCCAGATACTATAGCAGAGCTTTTGGGCCTTTCTAGCAGACAGTTTGGGTGTCATTAATGGGAAATGCAGTGAAGAAGAAACAAGGTTTTGAACTCTTGGTAGGTTATGTCCAGGTCCGTTAACCTTTGAGTCTAGAACTAGGGTCTTTGTGAAGAGGGGCTGATAGGAGACAACCAAAGGCAGAAGAAGGCATTTTTAGGTCCAGACGGTTGTACCAGCAGTCTGTAGGTGGCAGAAGACTGAGGCAATGAAGGACAGTTGCAGCAGTATTGGAAGCTCAGAGGGCTTGAAATAGCTTTACAGGCAGGAGAGGTATATTTCAGCAGTTTGACAGTCTATTAACATTTTGCCATTTTGAAACCCCTGGGTGTGTGGTTGAATTTCTGTTCAAGTCTCTCATGGCATGGGATACCATTTGATGTAAGTGGAGGTTGCCCCAGGATGGAGTTTTACTATCAGAGGTAGGTGGTTGATGGCCCAGTCTCTGGGCCCAGAAAGCAGTGACAGATTTGTGGAGCTGGAAAGGACAGAGAAACAGACTATCTAAGCATGGGCAAATCTGTAGTCAGAGCCCCCGTGAAAATAGTGAGATGGTTCCCAAATCCTTGTGACAATTGAGTAACTGTCCAAAAAGAGTGTATGGGTTGGAAACCACAGAATATAGGTGATGGCTGCATTTTTGACAGCATGGAGATCCTGCCCAAAGTAATTAACAGTCTACCATGATGATATGTGGCTGGGTGCTTGTTTGTGCTTCCTATGACATCTGAAAGCAGTGAGGGGTGGTCACATTGAGGCGGCATCATTGATGTCCACGCTGAGAAGTGAGTCTTTAGTCTATACCTCTGGGTGTAGTGTTTTCACAACTTCAGGATTGCAGTTATCTGTCTCAAAGTGATGCAAGTGTCATCTTTCTCTTGGGGAATAGTCAAAGTTGGAAATGCAGGGTTAAATGAGACAGAGGCTGACTGGCTTGATGCTAAGGAATGTCCTACCAGCCTGTAAGTTTGTGCCTGGCAGAAGGGGTGAGAGGCAAGGATTCCAGCTGCTCTAATGATGGCAATATTTTTACAGAGGGACCTTTTGAAGGCAGAGATTTCTGTTTCATCATCTACCAGGAATGTCACAGGTGTGCTCCCAACTTTTGCAATGGCTATAGGCTATCAGGGGCCCACTTGATAGAGCTCAGTCAGTC